GGATGATAGTTTAAATCAGCAGTTCTCAACCTGTGGGGAGTGACATCTTTGGGGGGGAGGTCAAATGACTCTTTCACAGGGGTCACATATCAGATATCCTGCATATCAGATATTTACATTACAAATCATAATAAGTAGCAAAATTATAGTTATAAAGTAGCAATGAAAATAATTTTATGGTTGAGGGTCACTACAGCATGAGAAACCTATATTAGAGGGTCACAGCACTGGGAAGGTTGAGAGCCACTGGTTTAGACGCTGGCCCTTCTCTACTGGCCCTGCTTATGTCTCCCTTCCTGCTTGCTTGCCATGTGGAGAAGAGTGCCCCTTAGGGTCCATCTCGGCTTTTCTTGTACCTGCTTTTCCTCAGTCACGGGAGACATCCATCAGCCTTGAAAGTGGCATGCTTTTGCTCGATTCCCCAGTCACCTCCAGTCACGTGAGACATCCATCGGCCTTGAAAGTGCCATGCTTTTGCTCCATCCGCCATGTGCCTGACTCATGCCTGGTCCCTTTACCTGCTCAACAGCAACTCTCTGGGAGTACGAAGCGGGGCCATGGCACACAGGTGTGGCTGGTGGCTGGATGGAGAGGGAGCATCGGAGTGTCTCTTGGCCATGACTCCTCTTTTCTTCCACAGCCTCTCCCTGCGTATCTGGGCCTGTCCCTCCCTATGCCATGAGCTGAGGTAGGGCAAGTGACAAGACACTCTCCTTGGGGCACTGATCCTCCACGAGGGAGTCAGGCAATGAGAGCCTCGTTCATAGCTACTCCACAAACCCCAGGCCATGAGAGCTGAGTGGAGGATAGAGGTCTGGCTCTGGCTGGGGGTAGGGGGCGAGGGGTACTTCCTGGGAAAGTAGCTGCAGGCCATCTGGAAGGAAAGATTTTCTGAGCAGATGGTCAGAGGTGAGGGTGGTGGGGACCCATGGAGGACAACGGCCTCTATTGGTCAGGAGTACTCAGACTCACACTGTGGAGCCAGGGATTTTAGACCCATCTCATTGATGAGGATGGCCAGGATGAGCTAGATTCTGAATACACTAGGCCTAACCCAGGCCACTTCCTTAGCCTCTGGATCATTTGACTGGCTTCACACAGGGCCCCACATGCTTTCCTCCTCATCCCTGAACCCCACCTAACCCGAACAGAGCCTGTCTACTTAGGATTGTATGAGGAGGTGTAGTGGGAGCCATGGTCATCAAGCTGGATAGACGGCACATTTCAGACAGAGGAGCTGTGTCCCATGATCCTGGGGGCTGGCTTGAGAAAGGGCCTTGGAAAGATGGACCAGGAACAATGAACAATGAACCAGATCCCCAGGGGACAAACATGGGCTGGCTAAGGGCGAACGGCCTGGCTTCTGGGCCACAGGGGGAGGGAGCTTATAGACAGACGGTGGGAGTCTCTGACCCTAGGTATCTGGGGGGTCAGGCTTGCCATTCTGAGAAGATGGGTATGGCTCCAGAACTTGGGAGATGTTTCCTTTATTGTCTAGAGTCCCCAGCCTCAGCATTTAAAGCAAGAAAATGAAGGATCAAAATTGACCTGCTGACTAGGGTAAAGTCTAACAACTGAGCTGTCATTTACACCCGCTGGGAGAGGGAAAGCCAGTTTCTCTAAAGGAGTGGCACTGGGTGCCACTCTAGGGCAGGCCTCACGTTCCGGAGTAGTTGACAAACACAGAATGCATGCCACAGTTTTGTTTTGTTTTTGTGGGGTGTGCTTTTATTTGGTTACAGTTTGGTGGGGTTTTTTTTTCTCCTTTCTTTTTTCTTTTTGGGTGGTGTTTTACTTGATTTTCTTGGTTGCATTAAGTTTTTGTTTGTTTTTTTGAGAAAGAACATAAAGTCAGGTGGGTAGGGATGGGGAGAGGCTTCGGAAGAACTTGGGGGAGGGTAGGAATACGATCAGAATATATTTAAAGTTAAACATTGTTTTAAATAATGGAAGAAAAAAGAAAAGATTGGAGGGGCTGGAGAGATGGTTTAGTGATTAAGGGTCCTTGTTGCTTTTACAGAGGACCTGTGTTCAATTCCCAGCACCCACATGGTGGTTCTCAACCTTCCATAACTCCCAGGTACTCATATGATGCACATTCTTTTTTTGTTCTGTCTTGTTTTTGTTTTTTTGGTTTTTCGAGACAGGGTTTCTCTGTGTAGCTTTGTGCCTGTCCTGGAACTCACTTGGTAGTCCAGGCTGGCCTCTAACTCACAGAGATCCGCCTGGCTCTGCCTCCTGAGTGCTGGGATTAAAGGCGTGTGCGGCCGCCGCCGCCGCCACCTGCCACACATTCTTATAAAATAAACATTTTTAAAAATTGGCCTTGAGGCTTGGGGAGGGCTCATTTGGTAACGGTGCCTGCCACACCTGTGTGAGGTTAGAGGCCAAGAACACACCTAAAACAGCTGGGCGAGGTGGGATGTGCTTGTAATCCCAGCGCCTAGGAGAACACAGGTGAATCCCTGGGGCTCGATATCCCGTCAGCCTCGTGAAACAGGAAGCCCCTCTGAGGCATCCTGCATCCAAGAACCTGGCAGATGTCCCCTGGGATCAGTGTTTGAGGCTGCCCTCTGGCCTCCGTGTGCATCTGCACACACACACACACACACACACACACACACACACACACACACACACACA